TCTCAAAAAAGAAACAAATTATATGGCTGTATCTCCTTGTTAGCTTTCTGTTGCTGTGATCAACACTGACCAAAAACAACCTGGGGAGGGAAGGGTTGATTACAGCTTACCAATTATAGTCCATCCCCCAGGGAAGCCAGGGCAGGAACCTGGAGGGAGGAACTGGAGAAGAAAGGGAGGCTGGGGGGAACGCAGCTTACCAGCTTGCTTCCTCTGCGTGCTCAGCTACCTTCCTTACACAGCCTAGGCTATGGGCCCAAGGATGGCCCCGCCCACAGTGGACACGCACTACCACCTCAGTTAACAATTAAGATGCCACACAGACGTGCCACAGGACAATCTGATGGAGAGAATTCTTCAATTGTGGTTCTCTTGGGTGTGACAAGTTGACAGCTGGTGGGAACTATGACATTGTCTGTAGCTGGTGTTCTAAATAACTAAAAACGGAGAGTGTCCTAAAACAGACTAAGAGCAGTGTGACAGACACAGTTCCATACACAGGCCAGTCTTAGAGGCAGGATGACAATGAAGCGGCTGCCAGCCCTGTGAGCTGGGAAGCTCTTCTCTTACTTGGAGCCAATGACATGTGGAGCTTTTTTTGTTTTGTTTTGTTTTGTTTTTCGAGAGGGTTTCTTCAGTGTAGCTTTGTGCCTTTCCTGGATCTCGCTCTGTAGCCCAGGCTGGCCTTGAACTCACAGAGATCCACCTGCCTCTACCTCCCGAGTGCTGGGATTAAAGGTGTGTGCTACCACCGCCCGGCTATGTGGAGCTTTTTAAACCCTGGGAACTTTGAAATAATAAGTATTCATATCTTTATGTTGACAGGTTGATTATTCAAGAATAGATGAAATAGAGTGGTCTTTTTAATAAAGGTTGCTTAAGTGCATCTTGTCATCAGTGAAGGATCTTTCCAAATGTATGAACCCACACTTGGTGGACTTGTAAAGCATTTTTAAAGTGGTGTTGGTACAAGGCATTGGACTGGAACCCAGCAGGTTCAAATGTGAGTAACCATTCTACTTTGTTTTTCAGATTTATAACCTTCAGTTTGTCTCTGATAATTGATCGTATCTTTTTTGGCCAAGTAAGTAAAAACAGATTAAGCTAAAGGCTATTTTTTAACCATTTACTGCTCTGAAACCTCAAGCTGGACTTTGATGCTTTTGTATTTGAGTCTGGGTGTGATGATACATGCCTGGGGTGGTGGTGCACACCAGGAATCTCACACCAAGGAGGCAGGAAGATCAGGTGGTTCACGTTGTTATCCCCAGCTGCATAGCAAGGTGGAGACCAACACAGGCTACAAGAGACCCCACCTCAGAACACAAACAGACCCATTAACACTTTTAACAGAAGCAAACCTTTTTTATAGTTATAATGGAATCCATTTCATCACTACTGGTCTGTTCTTTGGTGTCCTCTGCAGTGGTTTCCTTGACACACATCTTGATGTGTAATGATTTTGACCCTTAGTCATCCAGAAATCCTATCAACCAAAACACTCTGTCCTTCAATTGTTTGGTTTGCAATACAGGCTTCCTAAGTGTGGGCAGTAGCCTTCCACTGCTTTATATTCGGCCCCAAAAGGCACACTGGGTACTGAGTTACCACTCTGGTTTGGAGCTTAGAGATTTATTGTTAGCTGTGAGATCTTGGCAAATCTCACACTTTACTGCCATACCGTATCTGGAAATGACTGTGGCTCTGATTTCCTAAGCAAAGGTTGGTTCTATGAGGTGCTGTATACAGAGTACTCACAGCAGTTCTGGCTATGAGTGGGCATTTCAGATACTTATCAGGAGTGTTGCTGCTGCTGTCTTTGGTATCTGCGTTCTGCTAAAATTCAAATTGTAACACTGAGAGCATTGTACCATACCAGGTAGAGATTGGCAGCATAAGGCACTAGAGTAAAACTGTTAATGTGAGTGCCACACATGTCCTCTTACAAGTCATTTTAAAGCAGGATGTAGTGGGTTATGCCTCTAATTCTACCTTAGGAGGCAGGAAAAACACCTCAAGTTCGAGGCCAGCCAGGACTACATCATGAAACACTGTCTAAAGTAAAACATTTTTTTTTTTTAAAGGAATTCATTTTTTAGCCGGGTGGTGGTGGCACATGCCTTTAATCCCAGCACCTGGGAGGCAGAGGCATGCAGTTTGAGGCCAGCCTGTAAGTTTATGGCCAGCCTGGTCTACACACAGTTCTAGCACAGCCAAGGCTACACAGAGAATCCCTGTCTCAAAAAACAAGAACAAACAAAAATCCATTTCTTTTTAATTCTTTATTATTTGTATGCATGTCAGGGAAATGTTTGGAGGTGAGGGGACAACTTTATGGAATAGATTCTCTAACTTTTGGGGCGGTTAGATAGGGTTTGAATTCAAGAGATAGACTGCCTCTGCTTTTCAAGTGCTGGGATTAAAGGCCAGTGCCACCACACCTGATTTGTTTGCTTGCTTGTTTGTTTGTTTTTTCCAGACAGGGTTTCTCTGTGTGCCTTTCTCTGTGCCTTTTCCTGGAACTCACTCTGTAGTCCAAGCTGGCCTCAAACTCACAGAGATCCGCCTGCCTCTGCCTCCCAAGTGCTGGGATTAAAGGCATGAGACACCACCGCCTGGCCGAAACAACTGATTTTTAAAATCCTCTGTTGGACATGGAAAGATGACCCAGAGGTGAGGAGCAAATATTGCTCTTGCAGAGGACCCAAGCTGGAGCTCCAGCCCCACATAGGAACTGTTCACAACTGCCTGTAATTTCAGCTCCAAGGAATCTGACACCTTCTTACCTCAGAACTGCAGGCGTGCTCGCTAGCACGCTCACGCTCTCTCTCTCTCACACATACACACACACACACACACACTCTCACTCACACGTATACACACACATACATACATATAATTAAAATAAAAATCAATTTTAAAAATTATCTTCTAATTGGCTACAAATTTTGCAGTACCAAAGTAAGTATGAATGATTCTTCATAATTTTTGAGATTCACCTTAAACACCTAGCATTTTACAAATTAACAAAAGATGCATCAAGTACTTAGAAAAACAAATTATTAGCAGGGGCAGTGGTGGTACACTGTTTAATCCCAACACTCTACGAGGCAGAGGCAGGTGATCTCTGAGATCAGGGCCAGCCTGGTCTACAGAGTGAGTTCCAGGACAGCCAGGGCTGCACAGAGAAACCCTACCTGGGAAATAAAGAAAAGGAGCAAGTTATTAACAAGAATTCATGTCATTAATCAGAATTGCTAATGTAAGACTGCTGCCTGACTTTTCAATTCCTATTTAATAGCATGGTAGTGTCTAATACTCTAAAGGTCCCAGATCAGTTTCTGACACTAACCCTTTTGTTGTTGTTTTGTTTTGTTTTTGTCTTTTACTTATACCAGTGGACGTTGGTCCAATTTAATTTTTTGAAATTTAACGTGCTGCAGAATTTGGGGACATTTTATGGCTCTCATCCCTGGCACTGGTACTTCAGTCAAGGGGTTCCAGTTGTCCTGGGAACACACTTACCCTTCTTTATTCATGGCTGCTTCCTGGCCCCCCGGAGGCTCCACATACTGCTGCTGACCGTCCTGTGGACAGTGCTGGTGTACAGGTAAGACTTTTACGTTCAAGTAGGTGGACGTTTAATGTTCCCGAGATTATGGAAGCACTCTCAGAAGCAGGCCCTTCCTTCCTTAGGACAGAGCAGTAGAGGTTACCTCGTCAGATGAAAGGAACAGTGATTGTGTGGTGACCAGGACAGGGACAAGTACCGATTCACACCTGACTGAAATCCAAACCAGGACCTGGTAAGACGGCTCGGCAGATAGAGGCACCTTCACCAAGCCTCACGTCCTGAGCCGTCACCAGGGTCCACAGGGTAGGAGACAACTAACTCCCTAAGTCCTGCTCCTCTGGCCTCTGGGTGCCCCCTATGGCATCAGTAGCCCCCAACACAGATACACAAACATTTAAAAATAGTTTTTCATGAATGTATCCTTATTCCAAATTTGAGTAATATTTCTTAATTGGTCATATTTTTTTCTAAGTGTACATTATTATATTTTCACCCTGGCACTGTTTAACCACAGTCACATTCTATTTAAAAAGGAGTATGACTCCTAAGTCTGAAGCCAGGCCTGGTGTAATGCCAGCAAGGCCCAGCAACACAGACTAAAGCAAGAAGTGTCAAGAGTTTGGGCTACTGTGAACAGACTGAAAAATGGTTTGCTGGAAAAAAAAAAAATTCAGTCTCAGATACTTGAAAAATAAGTAGATGTTTTTAATACATTTAAATACATTAATTTATCAGACTCATGTAAAATTAATGTTTTGCTTAATATCCTTTGTTATAGCATGTTGGGCCACAAAGAATTCAGGTTTATCTATCCAGCTTTACCATTTTGCATGGTGTTCTGTGGTAAGTATTTTGTTTAATACAGAATACA